AGATGATGCTGATGACGACGATGCTGATGATCATGATGATGATGAGGGTGATGATGATGCTGATGATGATGATGAGTCGTTGAGGCTGATGACGATGCTGCTGATGATGATCATGTTGCTGAGCATGATGATGCTGATGGTGATGCTACTTATGCTGCTGGGGACGCTGATGCTGATGATGATGATGCTGACGACGATGCCGATGATTACGATGACGACGACGGTGCTGCTGATGATGATGGTGATGATTATGGTGATGTTGGTGATGATGCTGATGCTGTTGATGGTGATTCTGACGACGACGATGACGATGCTGATGATGATGCTGATGATGATGATGATGATGTTGATGCTGCTGACGTCGCTAACCAGGAGGAGGATGAGGAGGAGGAAGAGGAGCGAGATCGAGAAAGATAATGATGATGAGAAGGAGGATGAGGATAAGCATCGGGATTAGGATGAGGATGAGGATGCGGTTGATGATGCTGATGCTGATGGTGATGATGATGATGATGACGGAGCGTGCTTCTTTATTGCTTTGGGCATGACGGGCGTCATGGCCTCGCCTCGCCCCCCCCCTATGACGTAACGCTCCCCCCCCCAGTGCGCTCTGGGCACTGCCGCCGTACGTATTGGGATCCGCATAGGTGTCCGCTTAGGAATCCGCCGCATAGGAGTCTGGTCCGTAGTCGTCGTCGTCGTTGTTGTCGTCGCTCGTCGCTCGTCGTGCGCGAGGACGCGGTTGGATCCTGTTTTTTTATTCCAGGCCGATGACGGCAATCATCTTGGGGGGGGGGGAGGGAGCCGATGACGTCACGTTTCGCGCTGGCGGCGTCTGGGAATGCTTGGGAATGGCCGAGGACGGGTAGTTTCAGCATGTAGGTGGCGATCTGCACCATAGCGCCTGTGTACACCACAGTGCCTGCGTGCACCACAGCGCTTGTGTACACCATGCCGCCTATGTACACCACAGCAGCCGCGTGCAACACAGCGCCAGCGCGTGCCTCAGTGCCTGCGGGCACCACAGCGCTTGAGTACACCACAGCGCCTGCGCACACCACATCAGCCGTGTGCAACACAGCACCAGTGTACACCACAATGCATGCGTGCACTACAGTGCCTGTACATCACGGCGCCTGTGTGCACCAGGCATCCGCGTGCAACAAAGTACCATTGTTGCAAATAGAATTTTTGGAGGAATCCTTGTGACAAAATGGAGGGCCTGTGGATTTCTCTGGAAAACATATTTTATACAGGACTTGGAAAAGAGTTCTTATGTTGGAGCGCCGCCGGAGTCTACGAGTCCTCCAGAGTCCGCCCGCATCATCCTAATTCCTCCCATCTGCGTCAAGGAGGCTCCAGCAAAATTGGCCGTCCGAGAAACGACTGGACTGATTGAATGGACCATTCTGCGGTGCACGCTGAGATGCGCACGTGCGCTCTACTGCCGACCCGCACGACAGGGGGGAACGGTGAGGGAGGAGGAGGAGGAGGAGGAGGAGGAGGAGGAGGAGGAGGAGGAGGAGGAAGGGGAGGAGGGGGGGGGGGGGGGGAGGAGGAGGAGGAGGAGAGGAGGAGGAGGAGGGAGGAGGAGGAGGAGGAGGAGGAGGAGGGATGACGAGGAGGAGGAGGAGGAGGAGAAAGAGGAGGAGGAGGAGGAGGAGGAGGAGGAGGGAAGAGGGAAGAACGTCGCATTCTATTCTCAGCACTTTCCTGGCGTGGCGTGTAGCTGTCCGCAGCAGATCGTCACATATATGCTCCTTCTACCTGTCCTGTGTACGCAGGCGCTGTGGTGTACACCAGCGCTGCGTTGCACGCGGATGCTGTGGTTTAGACAGGCGCTGTGGTGTGCACAGGCGTTGCGGTGCAGGCAAGCACTGTGGTGTACACAGGTGCTGTGTTGCACATGGTTGCTGCGGTGTGCACATTCGCTGTGGTGTACACGGGCGCTGTGGTGCACGCAAGCATTGTGGTGTACTCAGGCGTTGCGTTGCACACGGCTGTTGCGGTGTACGTTGGCGCTGTGGTGTGCACGTGGTGCACGCGAGCATTGTGGTTTACACATGCGCTGTGGGGCAGGTCGCCACCTACTTGCTACTCGCGTCGTCATCGTCGTCGTCGTCGCTAGTCGCTCATCGTCGTCGTGCGCGCGTGGCTGGAGCCACACGGGGGGGGGGGGGAGCGTTACGTCATACCTCCACCCGCCTCCCCCCCCCATGACGCCCGTCATCGCCGAGAACAAAAAAACGCGTTCACGGTGACGATGATGCTGATGATGCTGGTGATGAAATCGGGAGTAGGAGGAGGAGGATGAGGAAGAGGAGGAGAAAGAGGTGAGAGAGATAGAGAGAGAGAGAGAGTGATGATGATGACGATGAGGATGATTCTGAGGGTGATGATGACGACGACGATGAGGACGGCGACGATGATTAGGATGACACTGATGCCGATGATGCTGATGATTATGATGATGATGTTGATGCTCTTGCTGATTATGATTGTAACCAGGAGAAGGAGGATCAGGAGGAGGAGCAGGAGGAGGAGGACGAGGAGGAGAGATAGAGAGAGCAACTATTACAAATATGATGGCGGTAATGCTGATGAAGATGTTGATGCTGATGCGAATGTTGACGACGGCGATGACGATTACAATAACGATGTCGATGTTGATGGTGGTGATGATGCTGATGATGATAATGATGTTGGTCCTGATGCTGATGCTGGCGCTGATGTTGATGATGATGATTACGACGGCGACGAAGATGACGACGACGATACCGATGTCGACGATGCTGATGATACTGATGATGATGCTGATGATGATGATGATGATGGGGAAAACGGTGATTATGGAGATGCTGGAGATGGTGTTTGTGATGATGATGATGATGATGCTGATGATGATGCTGACGATGATGATGATGATGATCATTATGATGATGATGATGCTGATGATGATGCTGATGCTGCTGATGATGATGATGATGATGCTGACGGTGCTGCTGATGCCGATGACGAACACGATGCCAATGTTAAGGATGATGCCGATGGTGGTGCTGATGATTGTGATGCTGATGATGCTGATTATGCTGCTGATGATGTGGGTGATGAGGATGGTGCTCAGGGTGATGATGATGATGATGATGATGATGATGATGATGATGATGATGATGATGATGATGATGATGATGGTAATGATGATGACGATGATGATGATGGTGATGGTGGTGGTGGTGATGATGCTGATGCTGATGATGATGGTGGTGGTGGTGATGGTGGTGGTGATGATGACGGCTACGATGACGACGATGATGGTTTTGCTGATGCTGCTGATGATGGTGATGATGGTAATGCTGATGCTGCTGATGATACTGATGATAGCCAGGAGAAGGAGGAGGTGGAGGAGGAGGAGGAGGGGAAGGAGACGGGGGGAGAGATAGAGAGAGAGAGAGGGAGAACGCTTATGATTCTTATGATGATGATGATGCTGATGATGAGGATGAGGAGGAGGATGAGGATGAGGATGAGGATGATGATACTGATGCTGATGCTGCTGATGCTGATGATGATGATGCTGATGCTAACTGGGAGAAGGAAGAGGAGGAGAGGGAGGAGGAGTAGGAGGAGGAGGTGGTGGAGGAGGGGGAGAGAGAGAGAGAGAGGTGAGCATGATGCTGATGATGCTGATGATGATGCTGATGCTGATGCTGATGATGACGACGACGAAGATGACGATGTCGATGACGATGACGATGACGATGATCTTGCTGATGACGATGATGATGATCACCATTCATCAGTATCATCATGATGCTGCTAATGATAAGGATGATGCTGACGCTGATGCTGACGATGAGGATGATGATGATGATGATGATTATGGTGCTGAGGATGAGGACGAGGATGCTGATGATGATGACGATGATGACGATGACGATTACGATGACAATGACGATGATGACGATGATGACGATGGCGACGATGGTGATGATGATGATGATGATGATGGTGATGATGATGATGATGATGATGATGGTGACACCGGCGATGACGATGCTGATAGTGATGATGATGACGATGATGATACGGATGAGCATGATGCTGAGGATGATGCTGCTGATGATGATGATGATGCTGATGCTGCCGATGATCCTGATGATCCTGATGATGATGCTGACGATGACGCTGACGATGATTATGATTATGATAATGATGATGATCATGCTGGACATGATGATGATGAGGAGGAGGATGATGATGATACTGATCATGATGATGATGCTAATGATGGTTATGATGTTGATGATGATTATGAGGGTGCTGACGATGGTAATGCAGGTGATGATGATGAGTTTAAGGATGATGCTGATGCTGATGATGATTATGATGATGGTGCTGTGATGCTGATGATGGTGATGATGCTGATGATGACGATGCTGATGCTGATGATGATGATGCTGACGAAGATGTCGATGCCTTTGCCGATACCAATGATGATACTGATGAGGATGCAGATGAGGATGATGATGCTGATGATGATGAGGAGGAGGAGGAGGCTGGGTATGAGGATGAGGATGCGGATGAGGATGAAGATGATGCTAATGATGATGGTGATGATGCTGATGATGATGATGACGATGGCGACGATGATGATGATGGTGATGAGGATGAGGATGGTGATGGGGATGGGGATGTGGATGTGGATGATGATGATGATGATGATGATGTTGTTGTTGATGATGATGACGATGATGACGATGATGATGATGATGATGATGATGATGATGATGATGATGATGATGATGATGATGAGGATGAGGATGAGGATGAGGATGATGAGGATGAGGATGAGGATGAGGATGAGGATGAGGATGATGAGGATGATGATGATGATGATGATGATGATGATGATGATGATGATGGCCAGGAGGAGGAGGAGGAGGAGGAGGAGGAGGAGGAGGAGGACGCCGCGGTGGCCGGGGGTCGGCCGCCGCTGCGAGGAGCACGACAACTGCTGTGCGGACTTCGACGCCGAGTGCGGCGCCAGCGCAGCGGCGGGCGCTCGGCTGGCGCCCCCGCAGGCCTTGGGCGGGGGAGGGGCGCGAGCAGGGAACTGTTTCTCCCAACCATCCTGTGGTCTTGGGTCCTCGTTTTGGAGAGACAGTGCCCCGCGTTCTCCTTCCTTCCTCCTCCCCCTCCTCCCTCCTCTCCCTCCTCCGATCCCTGCCTCTGCCCTGCGAGCCAGTCAACCATTTTGGCACACCCCTCACACGTTTCGTGGCCCCACAAAGGGGGCCCCACCGAAAGCCCATGTGTCAGCGTTCGCATGCGCCCACCGCACCCATTATGGTACACCCCTCGCAAGTTTCGTGGACCCATAGGGCACTCCACCGAATGCCCCAATGCCAGCGTTCGCATGCGCCCACCGCACCTTGGCACACCCCTCACACGCTTCGCGGCCTCATGGTGAGCCCCACCGAAGGCCCACATTCCAGCGTTCGCATGCGCCGCACCCATTTTGACACGCCCCTCACACGCTTCGGGGTCCCATAGGGGGCCCGACCGAAGGCCCAAATGCCAGCGTTCGCACGCGCCCACCGCACCCATTTTGGCACACCCCTCACACGCTTCGGGGCCCCAGAGGGGGCCCCACCGAAGGCCCACATTCCAGCGTTCGCATGCGCCCACCGCATTCATTTTGGCACACCCCTCACACGTTTCGTGGCCCCACAAGGAGCCCAACAGAAGGCCCACATTCCAGCGTTTGCATGCGCCCACCGCACTCGTGTTGGCATACCCCTCACACGCTTCGGGGCCCCAGAAATGGGGCCTTACCGAAGGCCCAAATGCCAGCGTTTGCGTGCGCCCACCGCACCCATTTGGCACACCTCTCACACGTTTCGTGGCCCCACAGGGAGCCCTATCGAAGGCCCACATGCCAGCGTTCGCATGCGCCTACCGCACCCATTTTGGTACACCCCTCACACGTTTCGTGGCTCCATAGGGCGCCCCACCGAAGGCCCAGATTCCAGCGTTATCACCCCCCTCAACGGACACTCCAGTGGGTAACGGTTGGGCGTCGCCGTTTCCCGTTCTCTCGGGGAGTGCATTGGGTCTTCGCAGGATCTTTCGTCGCCGTTGTTTTCCAGGGTTCTTCGGCGTTCGTCGGGGCGCGTGATGCGGACCGCGGCTTGCTCGCGGACCTCCTTGGGGCGCGTGGCCTCATGGGGGGCGCCACCGAAGGCCCCAGTGTGAGGGTTCACATATGTCCCCTGGCAAATTCGGGCACGCGCACACACGCACACACACACAGACACACACACACACACACCACACACACACACACACACACGGATCACACGATTCGTGGCCTCATGGGGAGCACCACCGAAAACCTCAATGGCAGGGCTCACATGCGTCCCAAGTCCATTTCTGGCATTCCCCTCGCACGGTGCGTGGCTTCATAGGGAGATTCAAAGAGTTTCAGTGAAGGCCCTTGTGGCAGGGTTCGCATGCGTCCGGGTCAGTGTTTTTGCGCGTCGTCGTTGCTGTTTTGTTTGAAGAGGTTCACTGAAGATTTGCGCTTTGCTCGTCTTTTTACCTAACAGCGAAGACTGATAGGTTTCTAGTAGTGTCAAAAGAGGTCACAGATCACTCCACAGGGGGGTCCGGGCAGGTGTTGGGAGTTGCCGGGCGGCAGGGTGCCGGGCTCGTTTTTCGCCAACAGTCACACACTTCGTGCTCTTCGATTTCCCAGAACTCCATTCCCAGGCCACATTCTGGAGGGCCGGATGCAACAGTCACACACTTCGTGCTCTTCGAGTTCCCAGAACTCCATTCCCGGGCCACATTCTGGAGGGCCGGATGCAACAGTCACACACTTTTCGTGCTCTTCGAGTTTCCCAGAACTCCATTCCCGGCCACATTCTGGAGGGCCGGATGCAACAGTCAACACTTCGTGCTCTTCGAGTTCCCAGAACTCCATTCCCGGGCCACATTTTGGATGCCCGGAGCCAACTGTAGGCCATTTCCTGGTCTTCGAGTTCCCAGAACTCCATTCCCGGGCCACATTTTGAATGCCCGGAGCCAACTGTAGGCCACTTCGTGCTCTTCGAGTTCCCAGAACTCCATTCCCGGGCCACATTTTGAATGCCCGGAGCCAACTGTAAGCCACTTCGTGCCCTTCGAGTGTCCAGAACTCCATTCCCGGGCTACATTTTGAATGCCCGTAGCCAACTGTAGGCAAGTTCGTGCTCTTCGACTTTCCAGAACTCCCATTCCTGGGCCACATTTTCAGCAGGGGCAAGAGCACGACGAGGAGGAGGACGAGCAAGACCAGGAGGACGAGGACGAGCAGGAGCAGGACGAGGAGCAGGAGGAGCAGGAGAAGAAGGACGAGCAGGAGGAGGAGGAGGACGAGCAGGAGGAGGAGGACGACCAGGAGGAGGAGGACGACCAGGAAGAGGAGGAGGAGGAGGAGGAGGGGAGGGGGAGGATTACCAGGAGGAGGAGGAGGAGGAGGAGGAGGAGGAGGAGGAGGAGGAGGAGGAGGAGGAGGAGGAGGAGGAGGAGGAGGGAGGACAGGACGAGGACGAGGAGGAGGAGGAGGGGGGGGGAGAGTACCAGGAGGAGGAGAACGAGGACCACCAGGAGGAGGAGGAGGAGGAGGAGGAGGAGGAGGAGGAGGAGGAGGAGGAGGAGGAGAGAACACCAGGAGGAGGAGGACGAGCAAGACGAGGAGGACGAGAACGAGGACGACCAGGAAGAGGAGGAGGAGGAGGAGGAGGGGAGGGGGAGGACTACCAGGAGGAGGAGGAGGAGGAGGAGGAGGAGGAGGAGGAGGACGAGGAGGAGGAGGAGGAGGAGGACGAGGAGGAGGAGGGGGGGGGAGAGCACCAGGAGGAGGAGAACGAGGACCACCAGGAGGAGGAGGAGGAGGAGGAGGAAGAGGAGGAGGAGGAGGAGGAGGAGGAGGAGGAGGAGGAGGACGAGGAGGAGGAAGAGGAGGGGGGGGGGGAGAGCTGCCTTTTCGTCGAGATGCTGTTCGACCCAGAGATGCTCCTACACATGGCTGTTAGGTTGCTTTGCCGGGATAATTTTGTTGGGGTGGGTTTGTGTGGGGCGAGTCGCGTCGCCGTTTCTCGGTGGCACGTGGTAAGTGTGCAGGAATTAAATTCTAGACGCTTCGCGTATCCCCACCAGCCCGTCCAGAAACGACGCCCAGGCGAGTAGAGGGTCGTCCTGAGGGGCTTTTCGGCGTCTTGGGTGCCTCGGGGGGGCCTCTGTGGGCCGTTCGGGATCCTCTTTGGGGCCTCCTGGGGGCCTCTTGGGGCCTCTTGGGGCCATCTTGGGGCCTCTGGGAGCACCTTGGGTGCCTCTGGGGGGTCTCTTGGGGCCTCTTGGGGGTCTCTTGGGGGCCTCCTGGGGGCCTCTTGGGGGGCCTCTTGGGGTCATCTTGGGGCCATCCTGCGGCCTCTTGGGGCATCCTGGGGGCCTCTTGCGGCCATCGTGGAGGAAATCGATCAAAGAAGAGGGGTTCCTTAATTAGAGTCCCCCCCCCAGGAGCCACGATCCTCGTGAGGGGTGTCGAATTTTAGCCTTCCCAGGGGTCGATCTTGGGCGCTCCAGCGCGCCGCGGAACCCCCTGTCCAGGTCAGTGGGGAGGGGGTAGGGGGAGGGGTAAACCCCTCCCCGAAGGGGAAGAAGGAGGGGTGGAAGAGGAAACGCTCTAAACCACCGACGCCCAGAGGGCTGGTGGGATTATTTTCGCTGGTCTGTCTGAGCGGATGGGTTAGATACGAATAAAGGAGGGTGATCCAGCGTTCACATGCGCCCACCGCACCCATTTTCGCACACCTTTCACACGCTTTGTGGCCCCATAGGGGGCTCCACCGAATGCGGTGCATACAACGGCGGCGCCCACAATTGCTGGTGATTGGGGTGTTTCGCCAGGCGAATGTTGTTCGGAGGCCCAGGGCCTAGAGGGTGACACCAACACCAGTATCGGCGATGTGCCTCCACCAAAGGAGGATGATCACGATTTGGTGACGGTGGTAATATTCCGCATTTTTGGCGTGGCCCATGAGGAGCTCCAGAGGGAGCCTCATAAAGAGCCCCACCGAAGGCCCAAATGCCAGCGTTCGCATGCGCCCACCGCACCCATTTTGACACGCCCCTCACACGCTTCGGGGCCCCATAGGGGGCCCCACCGAAGGCCTACATTCCAGCGTTCGCATGCGCCCACCGGATTCATTTTTGGCACACCCCTCACACGTTGCGGGGCCCCAAGAGGAGCACCACCGAAGGCCCAAATGCCAGCGTTCGCATGCGCCAACAACGCCCACGGTGCTACAATTTCACACGTTTTGCCCTATATGGAACCCACCGAAGGCCCACATTCCAGCGTTCGATGCCAGCTGGGTCAGTTCTTCACCGATGCCCCCTCACAAACGCAAGGTTCGTCTAGACGGGTTTCAAGAGCGAGCGCGCGCAGATGACAGCGGGCCACGATGCGTTCGTGGCCGGCCGGAACGCTGCGCTCAAAGACACCGCGGACATTGCGAAGATCGTGGATGACACCAGCTCCACGGCCGCGTCGCAGAGCTACAGTGTCACGCGCTCTCAAGTTGCCGCTCGCAAACGCAGACGTCCGTGCGCCCGCGGAAGCTGGGTGTCAGCTCCACGGCGCCGCAGTTCACCAGGATATTTCATCTTTTTGACTTCGCGCCGCCCATGTCGCGCCTCCAGGCGGCGATGCGTCTGGGCGCCACTGCCACCGAGGACCCTTTCGCGTAGGAGAGACCGCATAGCGGACATCGTTGCGAAGCTGGGCTTGGGGATCTCCGAGTCCGCCGAGGATGGGCCCGGCGCGCCAGTGCAGCTCCAGTGCGCGCCAGTGCCCAAGCTCGGAGGTGATCCCGCACCTACTCCTCACTCGTCGCTCCCGCATCAGCGCTTGCTCGCCGACAGCGGTCTGGCGGCGTTGCCGCCCGTCGGGGGCGGCGAGCGGAGCGCGGCGCTGCGTTGCCCGACGCGCCCTTGCGCATTGCCTAGTTATGCTACATCGCGACAGCACCCTCGCA